AAGATTCTATAAATTATTTATTAGACGAATTTAATAAAACAAGTATTTCTAACGCTCCTTGGGTTCCAAATACTAAAACCGTTTTAATTTTACATGGTTATGCTAAAAATAAATCAGTAGAACCCAATATGTGGCTTAGACCTGGTTTGTATTAGCTTGAGTAATTGTTCTTACGCTTACATAAACAATTAATTTTTTAGAATATATGATAAAACGCTATAATATAATCTCCGCTGATTATCCGAAAGCTGTACCAGCTCCTTGTGAGGTGCAATCAGCGGAAAATGTTCGTAAAATTGGAAAATGTACCGCTGTTTTTATAGAAACACTTTTAAGCAAAACCAACGGTACAGTCGAATTAAATAAATTACTTGTAGTCGGGTCTAACCTAGGCACACATGTTGCTGGAAAGGCGGGAAGTGAATTAAAAAAAAAGAAGATTACTTTAAATAGAATAGTGGGTAAATAAAAGCAGATGTTACAATTTTTTCTTTAAATATTGAGGGTATTATCTTTTTAAAGGTCTTGATCCACCGTTTACTTTATTTCACGGCCCTTTAAGTTTAATAACCAAGAATTCAGCAAACTTCGTTATGATAATCCATACAAACAAGTTTGATTTTGGAAATCCAGAATTTACTGGTCACGTTGATTTTGTTGTTAATTATGGTTCCTTTCAACAATATTGCCTTGAAGAAACAGGTCCAGTAGGTAAGTAAGACAATCAAATGAATTTAATGGCAAGTTTTAAATGATGATTTCAAAATTTATAGTGTGTAATGATATGGCATCACGGTATTATGCGGAATCAATTAATTCCAAAATGTTCTTTTGTGGGGTATCTTTAGATAAAAAGAAATATGCTATAATGGGAGAAAATACTCCAGATGGGTACGAAATATTGCATAAATTTGTTCAAATTATATTTATTTTTAATAATTTTTTAGGACGACTGGAGTTTATCTTGTAATAACTAATCCTACTGCACCATATGCTATGAATTCTACTTGTAATTCAACAAAATAAATTGTATAATTATGTAATATTTAAACAAATAAATATATTTTGTTTTGATTTTGAACATATTTCATGACACATGATACACTGCGCATCAGAGAAAACGGGCCATCCGTAAGATTGTGCAGATTGAGGCATTTGTTAAGCAGTATCCTTGTTAAGTAGTTCTATAGTTGGATTGCAGCCTGTTAAACCATTTTTCCTTTTGAAAGTTCCTGTTCTTTGAACTTGCCGAAGGCTGCTTTGGAACATTATGATGGTTTGCATTCGATCTCTCAACGCAGAAATCAATACAAAGCTATCTTCTCTGGCTATTGTTTTTCTTTGAACACCCATACCAAGCCGTTGGTGATAAGAACTAGTTGCAAAAAACTCTTCTATCTTTTTCTTGAAAGCAAGAATTTTTTCGGTAGCAGTAAATACATTTTTGTAATTCGCGACGGTAATGAAAGCTATAACAGTACTCAAACGGGTGCTGTAATGAGACTCTTTACAGCAACCGTTGCTGTAATGAGATTTTAGTAACATTTTATGGAACCAGTTCAAGTTGGTGACATTCGGTCAATAATTTTTCTAACAGAAAAATTTTACTTCAAAACTTGCTTCTATTAAATATGCTCATTACATGTTTCGAGAGAAACCTCTCATCTTCAGCTGAATGTCATAATTAACTATATAAAACCTATGTAGAAAGTGAAAAAAATCATAATAGTAGTCGATTAATAAAAATAGAAGAAAAACGAAAAATGATTTGAGAAAAATTACAAGATATTCTATACTTGCAACATGAATTACCTGGAATTAATTTTTCTAGTTGTCAATGTGACAATTTTTGTCTTTGGATGTTTAAACATGTTCTTAATCGAACGTACAAGGAATACAAAGTCCACAATGATGAAGACATTGAACTCTGAGCAATTTCTCTTATTTTGGGAGGTGTATATGAAAAATTTTGTTCAGGTGAATACATTTTGTGTTTTGACAATTTCTAATTGTCAATTCAAATTTCTATTTTCAAGTGTTACGGTGTTACCAACTGCTACATACCTATTTCCCTACATTGCCAAAATTTACTTTATTTTATTAAAAAAAAAAGTATAAAAACGCGAATTACAAAAAATAGCATAAAAAACACGTTTCATAAGACTTAAAGCACTTATTCATTAAAAAGCTCGTGGCTTCGCTATTCGTTTTTCAACTTGGATTCGTGAATTTCAAGGGTGTCTTACGAAACTTGTTTTTTAATATGTATACTATTCCCTGTTTGCTCTGAAGTGTTAAATTAAGATTATTGATCTTCGTAAAAATGTCGTTTAAACATGCAACTTTAAGCAGCCAATTTTTATCAAATAATCGATCTTTCAATTCGAAATTATGTTCTAAAAAAGCACATACTTCGTCTTTTAGTTTAAACAAAACGGGTTAGTATCTTTCCTCGTGACAACAATCTGACATCAGTATGTACAGAAGAGATATTAAATAAACGGTTATTTAAAGGCCGAGATTTTATGAAGTTAATGATTTTAACCACCTCATAGAGAGCCTGCTTATAACTGGGGGATAATTTCTTTGCAGCAAGTGCCTGCCTACGAAGCATACAGTGACTGCTAGAACAGTTTTTGGCGATATTTTTAATAAATTGTACAGCTCCATTAATTGTGCCACTTTTGGTTTTTGCTCTATCTGTAGTACAGATAGATTCTGTACAGATATCGATGCAGTTGTCTCATGATATGTCATTGTGTTCAAGAAAAGAATTTAGGAGACTAAATATTTCTAGTCCAGTAGTATATGTTGGTATATATTTGCATAACAGAAGATCCTCCGATATTGCGTTTTCATGCTGGTACCTAACGATGACAATTAATATTGTCCAGCTACATCGGTAGCGAAGAAAGTAAGTTCATTCTTTATATTGGTTGCTAAATTTCTGATGCGCTTAGCTATCGTGTCATTCGAACCCCAGGGTGCTGCGGAACAGAGTTTAAGAAACGTTGTTGTGATCTATCGTATTCTTTTTTTTTTGGGTGACTCTGATCGGGTTTCTGCTGTATAAGTTAGTATCAGTCTAATTGCGGTCTTTACATAAGGACTTTGGCTTCTTATCGAATTTGTTTATTTTGACATATTGTGTCATTTTGATCCATCTCAGCATCCCCGTATCCAAATATTTCGTTGCCTAAGTATACAAATTTCATTTTAGTCTCTTTCGCTTTTTCTGGAGAAGACTTTTCAGTGTTTTTCTTAGTTTCTCTGACTAGCGATTTAGTTTATGCGAATTCCTTTATATTCTTGGTATACTTCTGCCGTTTGCGACGACATATACTTTAATTGATAATTTATTACTTCTTGAATTTACATCTTTGATGGCATCTGAGTTACAAAATGTACAACATTGGACACCAGGCATAAATTATAATTTTATCAAATTTAACAATAGGCAACTTAATTTAAAATTTCGCAATATTGGTTGCTGATTCAATTACAATAAAATTTAAGTCTAAATTTTAAAAAAATGTTACGCATTATGTTATCTATCATAGGATAATAGATAAAATATTCGATTTCCTAAATAAACTGCAGTATCGCAAATAAAATTCATCGTAATTGATTGCAAAATTAAAAAGTGCCAATAAAATACAGATTTAAAACGTTTCTTTGTGCTTTGTTTTGATGCGCGTGTAACATTTAAATATCTTAAATTTGGCGAGTGCACATGATAAAATTATATTTAATAATGTGCAGTTTAATAAAATGCTGTTGTGAAATTATTCCGTCATTATTGTTTGTGTACTATTTTTTTAATTTCGTTTATCGTGATTCAATACGTTTCATTTATATTTCTCGGTATAAATGAGGGTTGTTTTCAAAAATTTGTTAGTTTGTAATTAATATTATGCGACATCGGTATGATTTATAAATTTCTTGTTATATTTTTAGTGTTAGTTGTAAAACCAATCGAAATTAACAGTTTTTACAAAATAATTTCGGACTTTTTCATTGTTATCAAATTATAATACAAGATAGATGTCCGAATGAAAATGTAACGTTTTGGTTGTACAATAAACAAGTTTATGGTTATCAATTGAAAGAAAACGAATTAATAACTTTGCAAGAAGCTCCATTTATTCGGGATCAAAGAATAATTTTTTTAATCCATGGATATACTGGAAATCGAAAATGCAGTCCAAATCTTCAAATAAAACCAAGCAAGTTTAATTTATAAAATATTATTAACATTTATCTATTAATTTTTATATATTTTTTTAGAATTGATCAAGAAAGGTTATAATGTAATCTCGGTGGATTATGAAAATGTGGCTAAATTTCCTTGCTATCTTCAAGCAGTAGAAAATTCTAAAACCATTGCAAGATGTTTAGCTGATTTTATCGAAACATTATCAACAATAAAAATTAAAAATAAAAGTTTCTCTGTTGAAGATATTCATTTAATCGGTTTTAGTTTGGGTGGGCAAATCGCTGGAAAAACTGGAGCTTACTTAAAAGCATCCGGAAAAATGCTTTCAAGAATTACAGGATTAGACGTTGCGGGTCCTTTATTTTACGGCCCAACAACCTATTTAAATAAAAATTGTGCTAAATTCGTCGATTGTATCCACACTTGTTCAGGTAGATTGGGAAAATTATTTCCAATCGGACACGTTGATTTCTACGTTAATAGTTTAATTCATCAAAATGGTTGTGATTTTTGTAAGATACTTTTTAATTAAGTTATTGAAGTTTCAATTAATGTTTAAAATTTTTTTTTAAATTAGGGAATTTTTCTTGTGATCATGGTCGAGCTCCCGAATTATACGCAGAATCAATTGATAGCGAAGTTGGGTTTTATGGTGTGAATTTCTCTGGAGATTTTGAATTAATAGGACATAATACATCAACTAAGTAATGAAAATTTTATTTTTAAATGTTTAAATTAAACCATTTTTGGTTTCGTTTCAGATCAAATGGAATTTACCATGTTGAAACTAACGCAAAATCACCGTTTGCTAAAGAAAGCAAAAAAATAAATAACAATAATCTAGACCGATTTTTATTATTTATAGAAGATAAGATTGAATATTGTTTAATGTTGTAGTGATGTAAGATTATAAAAATTAGGTTATTGTACTAATTGCTGTTTTTTTTTACTCCAAACATTGTTTTCTAAAGCATGTTTGTGCACAACATACACCAATTAAGTTCATAATTTACATAACAAAACTGATTACAGGAATATAATTATATGAAAACGTTGAAAATATTTTTTTTTTCATAATTATCTGTAGCTATTTAAAGCACTTGATGTTTGATACACATTAGTGTTACATAAACTTCAAAATACTAAAATGATGAAAATATTCGCAATTTCTTTCCTGAGTAAGTTTCTTATTAATTAAAAGAATCTTTATTTTAAATCAATTTGTTTTTAGTTTTTTATTTTCAATTAATTAATTCGAACGCAAATGGAGCAACATATCAAGAAAATTGTTTAAGTATTGTGTTAAAAGATGGATGTCCGAATAAAAACGTAACTTTTTGGCTGTACAATAAAAACGCACAGGATTATTTATTAGACGAATTTAATAAAACAAGTATTTCTAACGCTCCTTGGGTTCCAAATACTAAAACCGTTTTAATTTTACATGGTTATAATGAAAATAAATCAATAAAACCCAATGTGTGGCTTAGACCTGGTTTGTATCAGCTTGAGTAATTGTTCTACATAAACAATTAATTTTTTAGAATACATGATAAAAGGCTATAATATAATCTCCGCTGATTATCCGCAAGCTGTACCAGCTCCTTGTTACGCGCAATCAGCGGCAAATACTCGTAAAATTGGAAAATGTGCCGCTGTTTTTATAGAAACACTCTTAAGCAAAACCAACGGTAAAGTCGAATTAAATAAATTACTTGTAGTCGGGTCTAACCTAGGCACACATGTTGCTGGAAAGGCGGGAAGTGAATTAAAAAAAAAGAAGATTACTTTAAATAGAATAGTGGGTAAATAAAAACAGATNGCATACTTGTGCACAACATATACCAATTAAGTTCATAATTTACATAACAAAACTAATTACAGGAATATAATTATATGAAAAAGTTGAAATTTTTTATAAACATCATAAAATACTACAACATAATTATCTGTACCTATTTAAAGCAGTTGATGCTTGATGCACATTTGTTTTACATAAACTTTAAAATACTAACATAATGAATATATTTGCAATTTCTTTCCTCAGTAAGTTTCTTATTAATTAAAAGAATCTTTATTTTAAACCAATTTGTTTTTAGTTTTTTATTTTCAATTAATTAATTCTAACGGAAATGTAATAATAGATCAAGTAAAATGTTTAGGCGCTGTGTTAAAAGGTGGATGTCCGAATAAAAAGGTAACTTTTTGGCTATACAATAAAAACGCACAGGATTATTTATTAGACGAATTTAATAAAACAACTATTTCTAATGCTCCTTGGGTTCCAAATACTAAAACCGTTTTAATTTTACATGGTTATACTAGAAATAAATCAGTAGAACCCAATATATGGCTTAGACCTGGTTTGTATTAGCTTGAGTAATTGTTTTTACATAAAAATTTCATTTTTTAGAATATATGACAAAAGGCTATAATATAATTTCCGCTGATTATCCGAAAGCTGTACCAGATCCTTGTTACGTGCAATCAGCGGTAAATGTTCGTAAAATTGGAAAATGTACCGCTGTTTTTATAGAAACACTTTTAAGCAAAACCAACGGTAAAGTCGAATTAAATAAATTACTTGTCGTCGGGTTTAGCCTAGGCGCACATGTTGCTGGAAGGGCGGGAAGTGAATTAAAAAAAAAGAAGATTACTTTAAATAGAATAGTGGGTAAATAAAAACAGATGTTTCAATTTTATCTTTAAATTTTGGGGGTATTATCTTTTAAAGGTCTTGATCCAGCGTTTCCTTTATTTAACGGCCCTTTAAATTTAATAACCAAGAATTCAGCAAACTTCGTTATGATAATCCATACAAACATGTTTGCTTTTGGAAATCCAGAATTTTCTGGTCACGTTGATTTTGTTGTTAATTATGGTATCGTACAACAACATTGCCTTGAGAAACAATATATGAGGAGTCCAGTAGGTAAGTAAGACAATAAAATGAATTTAATCGCAACTTTTAAATGATGATTTCAGAATTTATAGAGTGTAATCATGATATGGCACCACAGTATTATGCGGAATCAATTAATTCCGAAAAGTTCTTTTGTGGGGAATCTTTAGATAAAAAGAAATATGCTGTAATGGGGGAAAATACTGCATATGGGTACAAAATATTGCATAAATTTGTTTAAATTATATTTATTTTTAATAATCTTTTAGGACGACTGGAGTTTATCATGTAATAACTAATAATACTGCACCATTCGCTATACATTCTACTTGTAATTTAACAAAATAAACTATATAATTTTGATATATTTATACAAATAAATATATTTTGTTTTGATTTTGAACGTATTTCATGACACATGATACACATATGATACACTGCGCATCAGAGAAAACGGGACATCCGTAAGATTGTGCATATTGAGGCATTTGTTAAGCAGTATCCTTGGTAAGTAGTCCATAACCGGCATCAAAACAATGCTACATGTTCAGTTGCAGTTAAAGTAATGGATCCTGAATGAGGAGGCTTCCTGATTCCCACGTGCAATGGGTAGCTGAAAAAATGCTAATTAAGTACATTTTCTTTTTCAGGAATCTAGATTGTCAACCACCATCTGCGTACCTTACCTCGTCGAGTAAAGGCAAGAAGATAATGAAAAAAGTTTTAGATAAGCTATCAGAATTGGCAGCTAAACGTCTAATACGGTTTGGCAAAAATAANGGTTCCTTTCAACAATATTGCCTTGAAGAAACGGGTCCAGCAGGTAAGTAAGACAATAAAATGAATTTAATGGCAAGTTTTAAATGATGATTTCAAAATTTATAGTGTGTAATGATATGGCATCACGGTATTATGCGGAATCAATTAATTCCAAAAAGTTTTTTTGTGGGATATCTTTAGATAAAAAGAAATATGCTATAATGGGAGAAAATACTCCAGATGGGTACAAAATATTGCATAAATTTTTTCAAATTATATTTATTTTAAATAATTTTTTAGGACGACTGGAATTTATCTTGTAAAAACTAATAATACTGCACCATATGCTATGGATTCTACTTGTAATTCAACAAAATGAACTATATAATTATGTAATATTTAAACAAATAAATATATTTTGTTTTGATTTTGAACATATTTCATGACACATAATACACATATGATACACTGCGCATCAGAGAAAACGGGCCATCCGTAAAATTGTGCAGATTGGGGCATTTGTTAAGCAGTATCCTTGTTAAGTAGTCCTATAGTTGGATTGCAGCCTGTTAAACCATTTTTCCTTTTGAAAGTTCCTGTTTCTTTGAACTTGCCGAAGGCTGCTTTAGAACCTTATGATGGTTTGCGTTCCATCTCTCAATGCAGAAATCAATACAAAGCTATCTTCTCTGGCTATTGTTTTTTTTTGAACACCCATACCAGGCCGTTGGTGATAAGAACTANTGACGATAGCCAACATGGTTACAGGACCGGCAGATCGACGATTACAGCTGTTACCCGAATGATACGCGATGTTACGAAAGCTCATGACAATCGAGAAAGCGTGGAAATGACCTGTTGCGACCTCACCAAAGCTTTTGACACGGTAGACCATAATCTATTACTGGATAAACTCGCTTTTTACGGCGTAAGAGTATCAGCACTAAGTCTAATGAAATCGTATCTGAGTAACAGTGTCTGGGGCCTTTTACTCGGTAGAAAAATTTTTAAGTAATACACGGTGGGCATTAGATGACCGAACTGTATTAGTTAATTACTGTATATTGAATAAACGATCATTTAAAGGCCGAGATTTTATAAAGTTAATGATTTTAACCACCTCATCGAGAGCCTTCTTATAACTGGGGGATAATTTCTTTGCAGCAAGTGCTTGCCTATGAAGCACACAGTGACTGCTAGAACAGTTTTTGGCGATATTTTTAATAAGTTGTACAGCTCCATTAATTGTGCCACTTTTGGTTTTTGCTCTATCTGTAGTACAGATTGATCTGTACAGATCCTGTACAGATATCGATGCAGTTGTCTCATGATATTTCATTGTGTTCAAGAAAAGAACTTAGGAGATTAAATATTTTTAGTCCAGTAGTATATGTTGGTAGATATTTACATAACAGAAGATCCTCTGATATTGCGTTTTCATGCTGGTACCTAACGATGATAATTAATATTGTCCAGCTACATCGGTAGATTCGTCCATTTGTAATGCAAATTTGCATGATTTCAGGCGAAAAGTAAGTTCATACCCTATAATTAAACTTTTTATTTCCTTTCATTGTGTCGAAAATTCAAGCTATTTTGTATCAAATTCCCCTAAATGATCAATAGTATTATACAGTACGAATTCCGCAATGTTATTGACCGTCTAGGTTTGGTATTGAAGATTAATACATTTGCATAATGAACTCATAGTTTGTATTTACAATCGGCATCAAAACAATGCTACATGTTCAATTGCAGTTAAAGTAATGGATCCTGATTGAGGAGGCTTCCTTATTCCCACGTGCGAAATTTCTTTCAAATTGTTCCCAATATTCGATTGCTTTAGTAACTGAAGAAATGCTAATTAAGTACATTTTCTTTTTCAGGAATCTAGATNATGTCACCTTAGTTGCAAATTTTTAGACAATTTATTTAACTAGTTAACATTTGGGAAACAGCACTAAACCTTCGATGACTTTCAATGAAGTATCTGGTTGAATACCCTATAATTAAACTTTTTATTTCCTTTCATTGTGTCGAAAATTCAAGCTATTTTGTATCAAATCGGTTGAAAATTCTGTTGAGGTAATGTCATCTAACTTACATGTGTTATAAGACGTTCATATTCTTCATCATTTTCATGGAAAAGATCCCGAAATAATCTGTCATTAAAGGGCCCCCTAAATGATCAATAATATTATACAGTACGAATTCCGCAATGTTATTGACCGTCTAGGCTTAATATTGAAAATTAACAATAATATTGCGCAACATCTGCATAATGAACTCATAGTTTGTATTTGCAACCGGCATCAAAACAATGCTACATGTTCAATTGCAGTTAAAGTAATGGATCCTGAATGAGGAGGCTTCCTGATTCCCAGGTGCGAAATTTCTTTCAAATTGTTCCCAATACTCGATTGCTTTAGTAACTGAAGAAATGCTAATTAAGTACATTTTCTTTTTCAGGAATCTAGATTGTCAACCACCATCTGCGTACCTCACCTCGTCGAGTAAAGGCAAGAAGATAAAGAAAAAAGTTTTAGATAAGCTATCAGAATTGGCAGCTAAACGTCTAATACGGTTTGGCAAAAATAAATGAATTAACATATATAACAACTCTCAAACATATCAGTTCTACGCCAACTCCTATACGTTATAGCTCTACGCCATACCTGCTGTATAATTTTTCAATAAATAGCATCGAAAATACAACAACTACCACATAATCAGTATTGACGTATGTACACCATTGCCAAGGGCATAATGTTGAATGATTTAAAAGTTTAGTAAATAAAGCCTTAAAACTTGAATTATCATATCGTATGTTTCCATAATTATTAAGGAGAGAACGGTGTAACTAAGTCTAGTAACTCTTGCAAATTTTCCAAATCCAATCTTATAAAATTCTTAGTCACTTACCTCAGTCAACGCCAAGTTTCTTAAAAGATGTTCGTGAGGAACTCAAAAAGGGACGAGTTATTAAAATCGATAATAGAATGATTGAGATAATCTGGATGCATAAAAATTATTCATATTAAATCAAAAAACAACATCGATAACTAGATCAAATCTAGCAATTGCCATTTTTTGGAAATATTTAAATCTTGAAATAGAACTTTTTCTTTTCATTTCAATCAAACATTGGCAGAAAAACACTGGTAGAGTGTAACTATAATTGTTGTGATAAATCTCGTTATTTAAAAGTTTTCTTTATAAGTTGATTAAATCGATCATATAAATGTGGAGAGCAAAATTAATTAAAAACTAAATATCGATAGTTTTGAATTATTTATAAATGTAATGTCATGAGGAATAAATCCCCAAGTTTATGCGTATAGGTTGAGAATTACTCTGTATGTCTAAGGAGACTAAAAATCAAAGGGACACACACACAGATCTTTTGGGTTGGCTGGCCTTTATAACTAGGTCCATGACAAATATGCTCAATGTAAACAAAAGTACTTTGATCTCTTAGAGAGCGAAAAGAAAAAAAATCCGGCAACGACGAGTTCCAACGTTTATGTAAAGACTACAGCAAGAATTTTTTCAAAAAGTCTTTACTTTAACCCTTGTACCAAAGACGAGATAATAAATATAATTAATCATTTCAAAACCAAAAAGAGCGAAGATGTTTATGGACATTCAATAGCTGTAAGTTGCGAAAGAAATCTCTGAACCGCTTTGTATGGTTTTAAACAAATGTATTGAAGAGGGAGTTTTTCCCGAAAGGATGAAACATGCTAGGATCGTACCAATGTACAAAAAAGGAAATGACAACGATTGCTCAAATTACAGACCGATTGCCCTCCTTCCAGTGTTTTCAAAAATCTTCGAAGAACTAATAAAACGCCGACTAATCAGCTACTTGCTAAAAAATAAAATATTTGACGATAGCCAACATGGTTACAGGACCGGCAGATCGACGATTACAGCTGTTACCCGAATGATACGCGATGTTACGAAAGCTCATGACAATCGAGAAAGCGTGGAAATGACCTGTTGCGACCTCACCAAAGCTTTTGACACGGTAGACCATAATCTATCACTGGATAAGCTCGCCTTTTACGGCGTAAGGGGATCAACACTAAGTCTAATGAAATCGCATCTGAGTAACAGTGTCTGGGGCCTTTTACTCGGTAGAAAATTTTGTAAGTAATGCACGGTAGGCATTAGATGACCGAACTGTATTAGTTAATTACTATATTAGGTACTCATTGTTGAAGTATACATATGTATTTTGTATGACGTCTGCACAAAAACTTTTTTTTTACAAATAAACATTGACATTGACATTGACATAAAAAATAAAAAATAGCGGAAAATGTTGCGTTTAAAAACAAATTCCTTGATAATATAAGTTTTAACCATATCTCTAAAAAGAATTTAGAAAAATTGATGTTTTCCTGTTCATAACAATCTATAATTATAAAAAAAATTTAGCTATACTACTTAAATAGTCAAAATTTTAAACATATTCTAGATAAGGAAGTACGCATAAATGTAATTGTCTGTAACTATTTAAAGCACTTGATGCTTGATGTACATTAGTGTTACATAAACTTCAAAATACTAAAATGATGAAAATATTCGCAATTTCTTTCCTCAGTAAGTTTCTTACTAATTAAAAGAATCTTTATTTTAAATCAATTTATTTAGTTTTTTATTTTCAATTAATTAATTCGAACGCAAATGGAGCAACATATCAAGAAAATTGTTTAAGTATTGTGTTAAAAGGTGGATGTCCGCATAAAGACGTAACTTTTTGGCTATACAATAAAAACGCACAGAATTATTTATTAGACGAATTTAATATAACAAGTATTTCTAACGCTCCTTGGGTTCCAAATACTAAAACCGTTTTAATTTTACATGGTTATGCTAAAAATAAATCAGTAGAACCCAATATGTGGCTTAGACCTGGTTTGTATTAGCTTGAGTAATTGTTCTTACGCTTACATAAACAATTAATTTTTTAGAATATATGATAAAAGGCTATAATATAATCTCCGCTGATTATCCGAAAGCTGTACCAGCTCCTTGTGAGGTGCAATCAGCGGAAAATGTTCGTAAAATTGGAAAATGTACCGCTGTTTTTATAGAAACACTTTTAAGCAAAACCAACGGTACAGTCGAATTAAATAAATTACTTGTAGTCGGGTCTAACCTAGGCACACATGTTGCTGGAAAGGCGGGAAGTGAATTAAAAAAAAAGAAGATTACTTTAAATAGAATAGTGGGTAAATAAAAGCAGATGTTACAATTTTTTCTTTAAATATTGAGGGTATTATCTTTTTAAAGGTCTTGATCCACCGTTTACTTTATTTCACGGCCCTTTAAGTTTAATAACCAAGAATTCAGCAAACTTCGTTATGATAATCCATACAAACAAGTTTGATTTTGGAAATCCAGAATTTACTGGTCACGTTGATTTTGTTGTTAATTATGGTTCCTTTCAACAATATTGCCTTGAAGAAACAGGTCCAGTAGGTAAGTAAGACAATCAAATGAATTTAATGGCAAGTTTTAAATGATGATTTCAAAATTTATAGTGTGTAATGATATGGCATCACGGTATTATGCGGAATCAATTAATTCCAAAATGTTCTTTTGTGGGGTATCTTTAGATAAAAAGAAATATGCTATAATGGGAGAAAATACTCCAGATGGGTACAAAATATTGCATAAATTTGTTCAAATTATATTTATTTTTAATAATTTTTTAGGACGACTGGAGTTTATTTTGTAATAACTAATCCTACTGCACCATTTGCTATGGATTCTACTTGTCCTTCAACATAAATTGTATGATTTTGTAATATTTATACAAATAAATTTATTTTGTTTTGATTTTGAACATATTTCATGACACATGATACACATATGATACACTGCGCATCAGAGAAAACGGGCCATCCGTAAGATTGTGCAGATTGAGGCATTTGTTAAGCAGTATCCTTGTTAAGTAGTCTTATAGTTGGGTTGCAGCCTGTTAAACCATTTTTCCTTTTGAAAGTTCCTGTTCTTTGAACTTACCGAAGGCTGCTTTGGAACATTATGATGGTTTGCGTTCGATTTCTCAACGCAGAAATCAATACAAAGCTATCTTCTCTGGCTATTGTTTTTTTTTGAGCACCCTTTGCAGGCCGTTGGTGATAAGAACTAGTTGCAAAAAACTCTTGGTGTCTTCTTGTTGTTAACTACGACGGTCGGCTCCCCGGCACCTATTATGCAAATGTTTTTGGAGAAATCGAGCTGTAAGAAGTTCTCAACGTGGATATCGTCCAATTTTGATTTGGCCGACTCAAGAAAATTGAGTAAATCGGTTTTATTCGTAGATGAGTGGATCAGAGCAGCCAATTCAGCGTAGAATTTGCTTAAAACTTCAACGACGTCTTGGATTTTTGTCGTCAAAATTCGGGTTTCGTATCCGAAAGATATCGCTTTTGTTCTGCATGCTTCGACGGCAAGTTTGTTATTTCCCATAATAAAATTTTCGGCGTTTGTAACTTTAAAAGTATTTTCTGAGTTTAAAATTACTTTTACGTGCTCCGGAAGTTTCTCAAATAGTTCGTATTGTTTATTATATTTAAAGCTTTGTCTGGGGAATCATTTGTTACGGTTGGTCCACTTGCAATAAAGTCCAGTGGATCACCAACTATGTCCGAAAGGATTAAACTAATTACTGTAGCTGGTAAAGATATTTTAGCTAAACCACCACCTTTTAATTCAGATAATTTTTTTCTAACTGTATTTAATTCTTTTATATCGGCACCTCTTACTTAAGCTTTTTATTATAATTTGCTTTTCCTCTAAAGTCATTGGTTCCTTTGGGTATGGCAATAAAGCTGAACCACCATCAGTTATTAAAACAACGACCAAATCATCTTTATCCAACTTTTCGATCATCTTTTTAATCTTTAAACTTCCTTCAAAAGCATTTAAATCGGGAATATTGTCTTTAGCGCCCTCTATAACTTGGATTCGACACACACACAGGTCAGGCTTCAAAATTTCGTAAAAATCCCGCTAGGTACCGTTGCAACGCCGTTTTGAAGGTTCTCACCCAAGATATCTTGTAATTCCAAAGCCATTCCATAAACCTCTTTTCCAAATACAACCAAATAACACGGTTTTTCATCACAAACTCGTTTCCATTCGCTATTAACGTTTTATTCTTGATCTGAACCGTCTTCTTGATTAAACTCTTTGTTTGAACGGAAGCCACATCCGCGAGAAAAATCATGGTAAATCGTTCATTGTTGAGAAATTACGGCAATTTTTAACGAAATTTATCGAAAAACTTCGGTTTAAAGTAACGAGAATCATAGCACACTCAATTTCGTTTAAGTATTTTTGATAAGAAAGGTTGAAACGTGACAAGTTAGGTTCAGATTAGACGTTTTGTATAAATATAGAAAGAATTAAAAGAGATGTTAATAAAATAATTATTAAAATAATGCAATTGGTGTTAATTTGATAATGATGGGATGTTTTGGATAAGAAAATCTATTGAAAAATATAGATTATTTATGGTAAAATAATCATCAGGCATCTTAATTATAAAGTATGTAATTTTGGTTGCCCTATAATATATTATATCATCAAACTCATTGTGAGATAAACTTTAATTTTCCGATATATATTGTAAATTGTTGGAAAACAAACGTTGTTGGCATTTTTGAATTTTTTCCTTTAGTACACTAATGAAAAGAACAGGGGAATCCTAGGGAAGAACAGGGAAATTAGGGGAATCTTCACAATAGTAAAGCTATTTGAGCTATTTGGTTCATGAAAGTACATAGAGCGAATCATTTTATCAACAAGGCGTGCGTTTATTTTTTGAACTGGTAAGTTTTCAACAATTGCAGTTTTTATGGTATCTTTATAGTTTGCGTACATTTTTTAGGTTTCTATAATCTCAAAGGATTTGACGAAAACTCAAATGAACAGAAATGTTATTTCTTTACAAACTAAAATTCAAATATTAGACCGTCTATTTTACTCCATGAAGATTCCATCAGAAAAAGTGTAGTAGCTGGAACCTGCAGCAGTATGAGTGCGATTTCATATGTTTTAGATATTAAAAATTATTTTTGTTTACTTTTTAATACGTTTTTACTCTATTTACCAATTCCAATTCCTCTTTCACTTTTATGTTTGTATAAGAACTTTGTTACGCCTGCAATCTGATAAGATTGAATATTGTTTAATGTTGTAGTGATGTAAGAAGATTATAAAAATTAGGTTATTTTACTAATTGCAGTTTTTTTACTCCAAACTTTGTTTTTTAAAGCATGCTTGTGCACCAATTAACTTCATAGTTTACATAATAACACTGATTACAGGAATATAATTATATGAAAACGTTGAAAATATTCTTATTTTTTACGAACATCATAAAATACTACAACATAATTATCTGTAGCTATTTAAAGCACTTGATGCTTGATACACATTACTGTTACATAAACTTCAAAATACTAAAGTGATGAAAATATTCGCAATTTCTTTCCTCAGTAAGTCTCTTATTAATTAAAAGAATCTTTATTTTAAATCAATTTGTTATTAGTTTTTTATTTTCAATTAATTAATTCGAACGCAAATGGAGCACCATATCAAGAAAATTGTTTAAGTATTGTGTTAAAAGATGGATGTCCGAATAAAAAGGTAACTTTTTGGCTATACAATAAAAACGCACAGGATTATTTATTAGACGAATTTAATGCAACAAGTATTTCTAACGCTCCTTGGGTTCCAAATACTAAAACCGTTTTAATTTTACATGGTTATGCTAAAAACAAATCAGTAGAACCCAATATGTGGCTAAGACCTGGTTTGTATCAGCTTGAGTAATTGTTCTTACACTTACATAAACAATTAATTTTTTAGAATATATGATAAAACGCTATAATATAATCTCCGCTGATTATCCGAAAGCTGTACCAGCTCCTTGTGAGGTGCAATCAGCGGAAAATGTTCGTAAAATTGGAAAATGTACCGCTGTTTTTATAGAAACACTTTTAAGCAAAACCAACGGTACAGTCGAATTAAATAAATTACTTGTAGTCGGGTCTAACCTAGGCACACATGTTGCTGGAAAGGCGGGAAGTGAATTAAAAAAAAAGAAGATTACTTTAAATAGAATAGTGGGTAAATAAAAACAGATATTACATTTTTTTCTTTAAATATTGACGGTATTATCTTTTAAAGGTCTTGATCCACCGTTTACTTTATTGCACGGCCCATTAAGTTTAATAACTAAGAATTCAGCAAACTTCGTTATGATAATCCATACAAATAGGTTTGATCTTGGAAATGTAGAATTTACTGGTCACGTTGATTTTGTTGTTAATTATGGTTCCTTTCAACAATATTGCCTTGAAGAAACAGGTCCAGTAGGTAAGTAAGACAATCAAATGAATTTAATGGCAAGTTTTAAATGATGATTTCAAAATTTATAGTGTGTAATGATATGGCATCACGGTATTATGCGGAATCAATTAATTCCAAAATGTTCTTTTGTGGGGTATCTTTAGATAGAAAGAAATATGCTATAATGGGAGAAAATACTCCAGATGGGTACAAAATATTGCATAAATTTGTTCAAATTATATTTATTTTTAATAATTTTTTAGGACGACTGGAGTTTATTCTGTAATAACTAATCCTACTGCACCATTTGCTATGGATTCTACTTGTCCTTCAACATAAGTTGTATGATTTTGTAATATTTATACAAATAAATATATTTTGTTTTGAATTTAAACATATTTCATGAATGTCGATAACTTTCAATATATATTATACACTGTACACCAGAGAAAACGTATTACCACCTCTATTATGGGTGACGCCCCTAATTTGATTTGGCTTCCTGTACCCCTGCTTGGGGAAAATTGTTCCATTCCTCTATAAACGACAACGGAGGTCTGCATGTGTTGTTGCAGAATATGCTTATTAGGATTAAGATCCTTGCCGTGTGTGGTCCTGCATTATTTTGCATTAGGTATCACATGTCCTACTAAGATTTCTGATTAAGTCTTATTATAGTCAATAAATGTTAAGTACAAATTTTTGTTACATTCTAGAGATTTTTCTATAACATTGCGTAGTGACTGGATATGATCTAAAGTGTTTCTTGAAACCTGTTTGCTCTGTATTATGGTATAGGTCGAATTTGTTTGTTAGCCGTGAAGTTATTATTTTCATCAACAATTTATATACTTGGCACAACAGGCTTATAAGTCGGTAGTTCTTTAATTCTAATTTGTCGCCTTTCTTGTGTAACAATATTAGTAACGCATCGTCCCAAGCTTGTGATTTCCTCCCATCGTTGAGGCATTTGTTAAGCAGTATCCTATAAAAATTATTCATAATCAATTATAAAACCATAATCGATAACTAAGTGCAACCTAGTTACTACGCAAATATTGCCAAAATCTTAAAATATAATAGATTTTTCATTTCGATCAAGAACTGGCAGAAAACTTTCTTTATTATTTGAGTAAATCGATCATTTAAAATGTGTGAAATACAATTAAAAAACAAGATATCTGAATGTTAAAACGTTATATAAATAAAAAATAACGCAAAATTTTGCTTTTAAAAAATAAATTCCTCGATAAAATAAGTTTGTTTTAACCACTTCTCTAAAAATTTTAGAAAAAAGATGTTTTTCTACACATAACAATCCATAATTAAAATAAAATGTTTACGTGTACTGCCATAGTCAAAATTTTAAACATATTCTAGGAAGTGGGCAGATAAGAAAATACATATAAATGCATGTTGACACTGTTTATTTTTATATTTCAAAGTAATCTGTAAAATGAAAACCGCTGCCCCATTACACAGTAAGTAAGTTTTAAATAGCATAATTTTTTTATGTAGATATTTTCTGTTTTTTACAGTAAGTTATTTTATTTTGCTTTTTGTCACTTTGACTATAGAGCAAAAACGACATTTAACATCTTTTCGAACTCTTGCCTGCTTAAAGCTTGTAACGATTAGTAAAACATGTCCACATCCTGATATAAAGTTCTGGTTATACAATAAGTAAGTAAATAAACTCAAATATATATTTTATTATATATAATTCAAATAAAGAGCATACACATAGTATTCAATGTTTTCTTAGCAAAACAACAAATGGTTTTCAATTAAACTGCACAAATTTTAATAAAGCCCCATTTCTGTCATATGATAATAACAACACTAAAATTGTATTTCTTTTAAATGGATATAACGGAAATTTAAGCAATTTTATTAATGCAGACATCAAATCAAGTAAGATTTTTTTAATTTATCACTAATATTTGATTATTCTTTCGATATTAATTTTTAGATTACATCACTTCAGGCTACGATGTTATCTCGGTAGATTATTCTTCTTTAGTTCCAAAACCCTGCTATGTACAGGCAGTACATAATGTTGATATAATAGCACATTGTTTTGCGGATTTTGTAATATGCATGAACAAATTCAATACAACTTTAACCAAAGATGTTCACGTTGTTGGATTTAGTTTGGGAGCTCAAATTGCTGGAAGAGCTGGAAATCTTTTAAGAAATGATAATATAACACTTTCAAGATTAACAGGTTTTCACTATTAATTGGATGTATATAATTTTGTGATCATATTAAAATTTCAAACAGGTTTAGATGTTGCTGCGCCACTTTTTCTGGTTCCTTACGTAAATTCAACCAGCGCAAAATTTATAGATGTTATTCATACCAATGGATTATTATTTGGAGAACCGAAAGCAATTGGAAGCGTAGATTTTTATGTTAATGAGGCAATTATCCAATCCGCTTGTATAAATATTACTGATCCAGGAAGTATAGAAACATGTTTTAACTTCAACATTTTCTACTGATTTTATTTGAATTTTTGTAGATTTAGTTTTATGTTCGCATGCAAAGTCGTGTGATTACTTTGCCGAGTCAATTTCACCTACAAAACCTTATTTTTGTGGAGAACCGTTTGCCTTAAATAAAAATAACGGTGGAAGAAATGAAATAATGGGCGAACATGTCTCTCTTGAGTACTTATTTAGATATAGCTAACAAACATTTTTATAAACTCGTATCTTATCTTATTTTTAGTGCTAAAGGAAGCTATCGGGTAAAAACGAACAGTGCATCTCCATACGCAACAGCTGACTCATGTTAATAACAGAATAAAATAAAATTTCTTTCAAAAAATGTTATATATTTTTTTTAAATCCTTTTATAATACTATAAGATTATGCTGCGCCCGCTCTAGGGGTAGAAATGAACCAAAGTTTAAAGTGTTACAAAAGTATAGATGCGGCCACTCAAAAAATTATTAATGTCGAAACAAATCGTTAAAACAACGTGCTTCTAAGAATCGTATTAATTACTAAAATAGATGGTAAAAGTTCACTTGCTATCTGAATTTGATTCCATTATGAAAGAGCAATTCTATAGAGTGCTTAAAAAAGAAAAGGTTAAAGCTGATTATCTCTAAAATCCATTATCGTTATTTTTTGTTACTCTCTAATTCTTGAGTTAAATCTCTTTGTTTGAACGAAAATGTAATCCATCAATTAAATGTGTTAAAAAACAATAAAAAATAAGATGTACACATATGCATCTTTTTAAATATGTATAATTTATGACTGGAAAATTCCCTGAAAATTTGCTGTTAGAAAATAAATTCCTTGACCAAAAAAACATAAATAAACCTTAAATTCTTACATTACCGTACAGGTATAACCCGTAGTTACGGAACGAGGTTGATCGATTTTACATATTCACGAGGCAGCTTCTGGATATGAGGTATTGGAAGTGGAGGGCTAGGGTTAGATAGGAATAGAGGAGCTTGATAAAGAAGGTCAAGGCCAGACGTGCCATAGACAAAGAAGATTTTAGACAAAAATTTTCGAAAATATTTCGTTTTTTTGGAGAAACAGGTTGGAGCAAATGACTCCCTTCTTTTGATTCATCCATGCATTGTGTCACCTACTGAGTTTCAAAATCGCATTCTAATCATTCTTATCAATCTCTAAAAATTTGTTAAAACATGTCTAGCAAACCTTCTATGATACCTCTCCACCTCATTTCCTTCCACATCTTCCCCTCTATCCACCTTATCAAATGGCGCCTACAGGTCTACGAATAATGCATACAACTTTCCTCCCTTCTTGTTCAACTCCCTTTCTGCCAAGTGTTTCAATATGTAAATAAACTAATAATAATAATAAACTGTTTATTGAGCCAGAAATAATGGTAACAAGAACAAGATACAAAATTATTTGAACAGAAACAAAAAAATATATAAATATAGATAACAAGGCAAAATAAAATAATCCTTACAATTACAACAAATAAAAAAGTATTCAAATTACAATAGCTCAAATGGCACAAGAACAAAAAAGGTAGCAACACACCACTGATTTTAACTTGTGCCAAGACAAACAAAAACAGAAAAAAAAAGCAAAATCGTATACTGAGTAGCATTTAAAAAAAAATCAAACAAACCAACAAAAACAACAAATGAAAAAAAAATAATAAAAAAGCAAAATCAAAATTTACAATTCTCATCCTCAACTCTCATTCAAAAATCAAACTGCCTAAACTGCGCGGCTGAGCAAGCACATCTAACCTCGACAGATAAGGAGTTCCATAGTTGCGCAATCCGGTAAGAGAAGGAACAACAGAACTCAGCAGACCGGTGATGTGGTATTGTTATCGCAAATCTATGTCACAAGTTTAAGTTATGAATGTCTGTCCTAAATCTTATTTTATGAACAAGGTATGGAGGTTTCCCAGTGTGAAGAATCCTATAAATTAGACACAAACATTGCACACGGAATCTCTGTTTCATATTCAGCCAACCACTAGACATCAGATCGGGGGAAATATGATCTCTTCGTTTAACGCCATAAACAAAGCGCAAGCAAGAGTTTTGAACAACTTGTACCTTGCGCATTGATTCAAAAGGCAAGGAAGAGCTAAAAACAACACTACAATAATTGAAGTTAGACAAAACTAGCCTATCACATAATAAACGCTTGAGCTCAACAGACAAACATTTACGACATGAATACAAACGCTTTAAGGCACCAAAAGCGCGCGCACGCAGAACCCCCTATATGCCTACCAAAACTTAGTTGACTATCTATAATGACTCCCAAACTTTTAATCTCATCCGAAAAAAGAATTGGTTTATCCAAAATGTTATTATGAACTCGAGACCAATCCACAAACCCACCACCTCTTTTAGAGAGTATAGAGTGTCTTATCAGGATTTATCCTCAAGCCAGTCGTGCAGAGAATTTTCAACTCGCTAGTAATAATACGACACATAGATGGAATTTCATCGGATTTAAAGCTGTAATACAATTGGGTGTCATCCGCATGCAGATGATAAGAACAATACTCAAGTTTGGAAAATAGATTGCAAGTGTAAATGGTGAAAAGGACGGGGACCAAAATAGAACCTTGAGGAACACCAGAAGAGCAGATCACAGAAGCAGATAAACCAGAAGCAGATAGCTTAACTGCATGAACATCCAATCCAATAAACTTCAAAATGCAGAACAGGAGACTATGATCGAGGATGTCAAAGGTCTTAGTGAAATCAAGTAAAATTAATACTGTGGATTTACCCTGCTCCAGAGACCTGAGACATCATCAGTCAAATCCAGGAGCTCAGTAGCACAATTGAACTGTCTCCTGAACCCGGACTGCTTAAGAGGCAAAATGCAATGTGTTTCCAGATAAATATTTGACTGCTCTATCATAAATCTTTCCAAAATCTTTGAAAGAACCGGCAGAATTATAATGGGCCTCAGATCCATACAACCAGTGATAGAAACAACTTTGGGAATGGGAACAACAAAACCATACTTCCAGAAATCCGGAAACACTGAATGAATCAAACAAAAATTGAAAAGATGGAGTTATTGTTATAAAAAGCAAAAAGATCAATATCAGGAGTAACCAATGAGTCATTTACACTATTCCTAAAAAATGTATTGATAACATTATTATTTCTCACGTTTTTCCACAAACACTTACAATTAGAGTCACCGACGATTAATTTTTTTTCAAAAAATGACTTTATTTCCCGGCGAATAGCACCCGTGATGTAATTTCGTAGAGTCTTATAATATTGAAAACTCTGCTGGCTCCTAATCTTTTTATACTTAGCAAATGCTTCATTCCTTAGTTTAATCGTTTACCTGACATTCCAACTGATCCATGGCAAAGCACGCTTTCTGATTACCCTAGTAATCACAGGCGCATGAAAATCAAATAAGGATAACATAGTATCATTAAAGCAATTCAGTTTGTCATCAATTGTATTAAGATCAAGGACAGCCTCCCAATTCATCAATTGCAGATCCTCATTAAAGGCACGAACGTCAATACCACGGAGATCATGAAAACTAATAACTCTAGCCTTAGGCTTAGTAATCATTGATATCGCTAACACACAAAAAACTAACAAGCGATACGAGAACCCAACATCGACAGTGTCACAAACACGAAGAGGTAACTCATTTGATATAATAATGACATCAATGAGTATTTCAGAAAAATTGGTGATACGAGTTGGCTGGTCAATAATCTGCCTTAAAGAAACAAATTAATATCTAAAGAAGGAAGCCTAGATAACTCCAACTGCAAACTTTAAGCCATTGAGCCAAACTTCAATCCAAAGCTGTTCCACTCCAGGAACATGCGCAGCGTCAATACGTCGCCATTCAATGCAACTCCGTATATATAGACCAACACCACCTAGACGCCCCTAGACGGCCTGTCCGATCTAACCAGGTGATAATTATTGATACAAACAACAGATGCATCAATATCCGAATTTAACCAAGTTTCAGAAATAGCAAAAACATCATAATCAAACCGAAGTACATTATCCCCGAAATCATCAAAGTGCGCAAGCAGGGACCTCACATTCAAATGAGACACACGAAAAGTATCCATAAAATCAACAAAATACAAAACTCTTTAAAAATGAAAAGAAAAAAAAATACAATTAAACAAGAATGCATGAACAGATGAGAATGAGCAAAACAAAAATAAATATAAATATATAAACAAAGAAGTAAATGACAAGTTACAAATTATATGACGATTTTAAATGATAATTGAAAAAAAATATCTATGTATATTATATATAAGTAACACAATAGGTATTATGAAACTTACACACTGAAAACCTTAAGCAGAAAACAGAAACTCCCGCTATCGTGAAAACAAAATACTGAAATAAATAATGGCGCTTAATTAGCCTCAACAACATGTGCCTTCTAGTACCGCTACAATTCTTCTTTATACAGTGCTAGCGTAAAGTAACCCCCCCCCCTGTTTAACTTCCGAACAAATTAAGATATCACTATGAACAAAAAAACGTCAGTTTCTATATTTTATCAGCACAAATATTTTCTTATGGAAAATTTTGCCATCACTTTTAGTTTTTCCGGAAAATAGATCAACTTTGTTTTTTAAATGGAACACCCAGTATATTATGGTATCTTCCGAAAGATGAAAACAATACGAATCCAACGGTACCTCACAATCAAATATCGGTTTATTAGTTTTTCGCATAAAAATTAAACAAAATGCGGAATTTTGCCGGAAAAACCAACGTATCTTCGTCGACTACCTGTCGAAATGCAATCGGCCAGGTAAATGGTGGACGGTCGGTATACGCTCGAGCTAAGACGGATTTAAAATTGCAAGTTCAATTACTTATTTTTTTTAGAAATGAAATAAAAGTTGTTTGGAAGTATATTAAATTTATGAATTAATCATATTTTATCAAAAAATATTTATAAAGAAAAAAAGTCAATATAAGAAATGAAATTTTCTTATTAAAGATTTTGCTAGTATAGGTAACGGTTGAAAAATTTGCTTAGTGTTGTTATTGAATAATAAAAGAATTTTTTATTTATTAAGAATCAAATATTAAGTAAATTGTTCGATATGATTACCTTGAACTTCTAGGCAGTGGTACCATCTTTGTAGTGTTTCCTCTCTCACACGGCTTAACATGTGATGATCAATATAATATTTTGGCAGACGTCAATAATTTTTTGTTTTAAATCCTCAATACTACACAACGGAATTTAGC